CAGCTCTTCAGCTCAAGGCAAGCGCTCTACCACTTGAGCCACAGCGCCACTTCCGGTTTTCTGGTGGTTTATTGGAGATAAGAGTCTCGTAGCCTTTCCTGCCTGGGCTGGCTTTAAACCATGATCCTCAGATCTCAGTCTCATGAGCTAGGATTACAGGCATGAGCCACCAGTGCCTGGCAAGTTTTGTTTTTGTTTTTTAAATTATATTTTCACTGTCTTAAGTAGTTGTACAAAGGAGTTACCACTCATCAAATCAGTTTATGAATATATTGTGTCTTCATCGATGTCACCCTTCATCATTCTCCCCATCATTCCCCAACCTTCCTTCTCTCAGTTTTCCTGGTTTCATTGGATACACATTGAACAGGTGTTGTTGTTTTTTGATTTTTGGTTTTTTTTTTGGTCGGTTGTGGGGCTTGAACTCTGGGCTTGGGCGCTATCCCTGTGCTCCTCAGCTCAGGCGAGCGTGCTACCGCTTGAGCCACAGCGCCACTTTCAGTTTTCTAGTGGTTTATTGGAGATAAGAGTCTCATAGCCTTTCCTGCCTGGGCTGGCTTTGAACCATGATCCTCAGATCTCAGCCTCCTGAGTAGGATTACAGGCGTGAGCCACCGGCACCCGGCTTATGTGTTGTTCTTTTAGACAGATCTGTTACTTAACATATGCAAAAGTTGAAGAAAAATCTCTGTGTTGATTCCTTGTTTTCTAGGCAGCTGTGTCGATGTTAAAACAAGACTACAAAGAGGGGGAAATGACTCTGAAGTCGGCACTTGCTTTGGCCATCAAAGTGCTGAATAAGACCATGGATGTTAGTAAACTGTCTGCTGAAAAAGGTAACTCCCACTGTCTTGCCCTGTCCCAGTCGATCAGCCAGGGAAGCAATGATGTAGTGAGGGTGATCAAGTGCACGGAGCTCTGTCTGCCGTGTTGCCCTTCTCCACTGCAGCAGCGCTTATGAGCCATGTGGCGCTGCACCTGCTCCCTGAGGTTCAGTGGAGCCCTGATAGAGTTGTGCAGCCACAGTCCAGTACCCTGTGGACAGCTTAGGACTTGAGCCTGAATTCCGTTAGTACTGGTGAGCAAAAGCCTAGAGACCCTGTCCCACGTAGTAGATAATCAAGACTTTGTATCAACCTATGCTTCTGTGTGTGTGACAAAGAATGCATGGCTCTGTGTGTGTGTGTGTGTAGGCCATACATACTTCATCCTGTCCAAGATGGAACATTCACCATGAGTCCTCAGAAACCTCCCTGCTTTGCTACTACATATACCCCCCCCTCTCTTGTTATAGGGCTTGAACTTGGGGACTAGATGCTGTCCTTGAGCTCTTTCTCTCAAGAGTAGCATTCTACCACTTTGAGCCATAGCTCTACTATTTTTGGTTGGTCGTGGGGCCTGAACTCTGGGCCTGGGCCCTGCCCCTCAGCTCTTCAGCTCAAGGCTAACACTCTACCATTTGAGCCACAGCCCCACTTTCGGCTTTTTCTGCTAATGTGGTGCTGAGGAATCAAACCCAGGGCCTCATGCATGCAAGGCAAGCGCTCTACCACTGAGCCACTTTCCCAGCCCCACAGCTCTACTTTTTGGTGGCTAGTTGGAGATAAGAGTCTTATGGACTTGCCTGCATGGGCTGGCTTTAAATCGCAATCCTCAGATCTCAGCCTCCTCAGTAGCTAGGATGATGGGTGAGCCACCAGTGCCCAGCCTGCTCATCTCTTTTTTAAAAACTTTTTTTTTTTTATGTAGTACAAAGGAATTGAACTTAGGGCCTCATTCATGTTAGGCAAGTACTACCACTAAGCCACAGTCCCAGCCCCTGCTCATCTCTTATGTTAAGTAGTATTCAGTTTAAATCATGATCTCATGTAACGCACAGAAGGTTGAGGTTAATGAACAGATGGGTTAGTGGAGAGTTACTTCACTCCCAGGGTCAAAAGTTATTTTTTTAGAAGAATCGCAGTTCAGAGCCAGTGTGGGCAGGAAAGTCTATGACGCTCTTGGGGCTAGGAAGGTGGCTCAGTGGTAGAGCTCTTGCCTTGCATGCCTGAGGCCCTGGGTTTGATTCCTCAGACCACATAAGCAAAAAGAAAAAAGTCGGAAGTGGCGCTGTGGCTCAAGTGGTAGAGTGCTAGCCTTGAGCTGAAGAGCTGAGGGACAGTGCCCAGGCCCAGAGTTCAGGCCCCACTACCAGACCCAAAAAAAAAAAAAAAAAAAGTCTATGACGCTCTTATCTCCAATTAGCCACCAGAAAACCAGAAGTAGCACTGTGGCTCAAAGTGGTAGAGTGTTAGCCTTGAGCCAAAAGAGCTTAGAGCTTAGGTACAGTGCCCAGGCCCCAAGATCAAGCCCTATGACTGACAAAAAAAGTTGTCCACTTGGGGTTGGGGTTGTGGCTCAGGTGGTGGTGCACCACCCAGTGAACAAAAGCATCAGATACCAAGTTTGAGTCCTGGTCTTGGACAAACAAACAAAAAAGTTGCCCTCTTCCATGAAGAAGGCCCCCATTCTGTTTCCCCACACCAGAAATCCCTCCCTCGCAGGTTTCCGGTGACTTTTCTTGCCCATAGCCCTGGAAACTTCCTTTCTTGCCACTGGTCTGAAAAGCCCGTGAAGGGTTAAGTGTCATTACTGAGAGAAGGTTTGGCGAAGCGTGGGTGGGTTCCATCAAGGAGATGAGGGTTCCTTCTGTCAGCACTGCTCACAGCAGGTCTGTGAGAGAGCTGCTGCTGACTACTCATCTAAGGGAGAGAGAGAAGGGTTGCTGAGAAAGTTGGCATGGGTGAGGAGAAAATATTGAGGTAGAAATGGAAAAGATGTTATGAAACCAGGACCCAGCGATTCACACCTGTAATCCTACTCAGAAGACAGATCTGGGGATCACAGAAGCCAGCCCAGGCAGGAAAGACAGTGGGATTCTTATCGCTAATGAACCACCAAAAAGCCAGAAGGAGCTGTGACTCCTGATAGAGCACTAGCCTTAAGCAAAAGAAGCTCAGGGACAACACCCAGGCCCTGAGTTCAAGTCCCAGACTGAAATAAAAAAAGGTACCTATGGGAATATGAGTCATATTAATCATAAACACGCAGAGTAGTTAAGGCTCAGCGTAAGGTGAGTAGACTGAGCTTTGTGGCCTGTGATGTGTGTGTCACGTGATGTGTGTGCTTGTTTCCAGTGGAAATTGCCACGCTCACCAGGGAGCATGGGAAGACGGTGATCAGAGTTCTCAAACAAAAGGAGGTGGAACAGCTGATCAAAAAACACGAGGAAGAAGAAGCTAAGGCTGAGCGGGAGAAGAAGGAGAAGGAGCAAAAGGAAAAGGACAAATAGAGGACTGGGGTCTGTGACTCTGTCACATTCTACTTCTGGGTAAAAATAGCATCTTGCGCCCGGCGGCTGTTGAGACTTGGGCGTTGGGCAAACAGGACATGGTGCGCCCAGTTGGGGCCTTGGTGTTTTGTCCAGTTGATTACTAATTGTAAATGATGACTTATTCTTTATGGACACCTTACTCTTTCACCCTTATTTTTTTTGGAATAAAACTTGGAAAGAATGGAATGGGAGTAGTGAAGAGAAACATCGGATAACTATTAGTTCCGGCCCCAGCATTGGAAGAGCCTGGGATTGGCTGCGCGTGTCAGGTGCACGGTGGCTGGCGCTTCCACAGCGTGCATGTTTCCCCCTTCTGGAACAATTGCCCATCCCTGTCCTGCTTGCCAAGGTTGGCTGAGAACAGCACGTAGGCCTAGCAAACAGCATGGATGTATGAGAGGTTGCTGGGCCCTGGCTGCTGGCACCAAGGCTGCTATGCGCCGTGGCCTAAGCCACAAAGATGGATGTGGGGGTTAGAGCTGTGGAGAGCAAGGACCAGGGCCAAAGAGAACCCCACAGCTGAACTTTGCTCACTTGGCCAATTAGGTTCTCTCGTGACCAGTGCTACTTAAGAGTCTGGCGCACGGAGCAGCAACCTCTGCAGCGGCAAGGGTTTGGCTAGAATTGCAGATGGAGTGTTCCACCCAGACCTACTGAGCTCAACTAGCTGGGCATGAAGCCCAGTGTGGGGCTTTTGAACCTAGGGCCTTATGCCAGAGGTTTACCCCTAAGCAACATCTCCAGCTTGGTTTTTTGTTTTTGTTTTTTTGCCAGTCCTGAGGCTTGAAAACTCTGGGCCTAGGCTCTGTTCCTGGGCTTCTTTTGCTCACAGCTCACATTCTACCACTTAAGCCACAGCACTTCCAGATTTTTCTGAGTAGTTTATTGGAGATAAGCGTCGCACAATCTTGCCCATGTAATTGTAACCCCTCTGTACGGTATTTTCACAATTAAAAAAAAAAGCAGGACGCCAGTGGTTCACGCCTGTAATCCTAGCTACTCAGGAGGCTGAGATAGATCTGAGGATCGCGGTTCAAAGCCAGCCTGGGCAGGAAAGTCCGTGAGACTCTTATCTCCAATAAACCACTAGAAAACTGGAAGTGGCACTGTGGCTCAAGCAGTAGGGCACTCGCCTTGAGCTGAAGAGCACAGGGACAGCGCCCAAGCCCAGAGTTCAAGCCCCACGACTGACCAAAAAACAAAGAGTCTCACAGGGCTAGGAATGTGGCTTAGTGGCAGAGTGCTTGCTTAGCATACATGAAGCCCTGAGTTAGATTCCTCAGTACCACATACACAGAAAGGGCCAGAAGTGGCGCTGTGGCTCAAGTGATAGAGTTCAAGCCTTAAGCAACAAAAGCTCAAGGACAGCCAGGTGCCAGCGGCTCACGCCTATAATCCTAGCTATTCAGGAGGCTGAGATCTGAGGATTGAAGTTCAAAGCCAGCCTAGGCAGGAAAGACCTTGAGACTCTCCAGTAAATTATCAGAAAAACCGGAAGTCGGTGCTGTGGCTCAAGTGGTAGAGTGCTGGCCTTGAGCTGAAGAGCTGAGGGACATTGCCCAGGCCCAGAGTTCAAGCCCCACAACTGACAAAAAAAAAAAAAAGACAAATGCCCAAATTTTCACTGGCATTACAGGCAGTAAAAGCCATCTCCATGGCAGGGAAGGTAGACTGGAGATGGGATGACAAAAAAAAAAAAAAAAAAACTCAAGGACAGTGAGTGTCCAGGCTCTGAGTTCAAGCCCCAAGACTGGCAAGAATTAAAAAAAAAAACATACACAGATGTACACATATATGATATATGTACATGTGTATCCCTCCTGAACAAAGTTTCTTGCATTCTTAGCTGTCTTGCTCTCAGTTGATGCTCTACCACTTGAGCCATACTTTTCCTACTGCCTTTTTTTCTGGTTATTTGGGGATGAGAGTCTTAAGATTTTTCTGCCCCTGGCTGTCTTTGAACCATGATCCCCACATCACAGCCTCCTGGGTAGTTGGGATTACAGGCATGAGCCACATGTGGCAGCCTACAAAGACATTTCTTTCTTTTTTTTTTTTTTTTTGGTCGGTCGTGGGGCTTGAACTCGGCCTGGGCGCTGTCCCTCAGCTCTTCAGCTCAAGGCAAGCGCTCTACCACTTGAGTTACAGCGCCACTTCCGGTTTTCTAGTGGTTTATTAGAGATAGGAGTCTCACTGTCTCTCCTGCCTGGGCTGGCTTTGAACCGCGATCCTCAGATCTCAGCCTCCTAAGTAGCTAGGATTACAGGCGTGAGCCACCAGTGCCCAGCTCTACAAAGACATTTCTATGAGGAGGCAAATCCTCAAGTTGATAATCTGAATGAGTGATACTGAAAAACTGCAATTCCTGCATCAGGTCCTTGGTCTCCATAGTCTCAAAGAATGAATCCACAGAACTACAGAAGTAAAACAGCAAAAGTTTATGGAAGGAAAAGGTTCCTGCCAGACAGAAGGGGTCCCAAAGGAGGGCACCGCCTGGGGCATGTGGTGCAGGGGTGAATAAGGTCTCTTGGAGAATTATATGACAAGATCATTGGAGAGCCTGCAGCCATAGCATCCCCAGGCCCAATCAGAGGCTCGCCGCGCCTGCACCAGCTCCACAAGCATCCTTTGATCCCTCTCATGCTCCCCCCCCACTTGCCTGAGCACAGCTCTGGGGTTCAATCAGCCTGCTATTCACAGGCAACTCTTCCAGGGACAACTGGCCATGACATGATGCCCGGGGGCCTGTGTGCGTGACTGCTCAGAGCTGTGGTTATAGGTGTGTAGGGGTGTGCACAGGGTTGTGATATGGGGTGTTTAGAGGTATGCACACAGGTCTGCTCAGGGGCCTGGTGAGGAATATGGAACCTCTGTGGGAGAGGCCTTTGCCCTCATTGCCCAACCAGGCCCCGCCTGCTCTCAGAAGGATTGGCTGTACATTTTGAAGGGAGCTTCCTTCAATCTTGTTACCCTTGAAAGTAAGGCAGGTGGAGGAGGAGTGACCCCTAAGTCCTGCTGGCCTTCTCTCCATTTCCTGCCCAGGATCTAACCATTCACCACCACAGGCACCAGGACATTGAGACACTGTGGTCCTCGCTTGAGCTATGGCCATAGCTTCTGAACAGGAGAGACTGGGCCTGCATTCAATAGCCAAGTCCTAGTACAGAAATTCTGTTCATAGCCAGGTGCTGGTGCCTCATGCCTATAATCCCAGCCATTCAGGAGGCTATGGTCTGAGGCTCACAATTTGGAGCCAGCTGGAGCAGGAAAATGTGAGATTCTTACCGCTAATCAGGACTCAAAAACGAAGTGGAGCTGTGGCTCAAAGTGGTAGAGGGCTGACTGAGCAGAAAAGCCAGGAACAGCCCTGAGGACCTAAGCTTAAGCCCTGTGACCTACAAAAGTAAGTACTTTTTTTTTAAAAAGGACAGTTATTAACATTCACCCTTTTGTGAAACTCATACTGGGTAGAAAAGAAAAAGGTAGGTGGGAGCTATGGTATGTTTTTCCATTGTGGAGCTGTCTGCTCAGCCTAGAATTTGCTGTACCCCATTTTTCCTAAGTTCTGTTGCACACTTTCACCCGGGTGACAGAGCTATGTTTCCAGGTGAAAGAGGTCTCGCTTATAAGAAGGTGTGTGCTACCAGTTCAAAACTACTTTGACAACTAAATTGGAAACAAAATAGCTTATTTTTTAAATCCTCTGTGTGCATTGTGTGTGTGTGTGTGTGTGTGTGTGTGTGCACGCACGTGCACATGTGCGTGCGCTGGTCCTGGAGCTTGAACTCAGGGCCTGGGCACATCCCTTACTTTTTTCGCTCAAGGCTTGTGCTCTACTACTTGAGCCACAGCTCCACTTCCAACTTTTTGGTGGTTACTTGGAGATAGATGTCTCATGGACTTTTCTATCTGGGCTGGCTTTGAACTGTGGTCCACAGATCTCAGCTTTATGAGTAGCTGGGATAATCCCAGGGAGAAGCCACGAGAACTCCCAGCATCTGGTTTTAAAACCTGAGTAAAAAAAAAACCGAAGTCTTAAGATGGTTTCATTTTGGTGACTTTCAAGACATGATTTTAAAAATAAGCCATAAAGGGGGAAAAAAAATCAGGTTTTTACTTCTGATGTTTTTCTTAATCAGAAAATAAGTAGAGAGTTGGAATTTCTATAGTCTAGCACTTCAGAAGTTCTGTAAAGGCATTTTTATTTTTTGGCAGTACAAAAAGATTTCACGTTCTGGGGGGAAAATACAGTAGATGAATTTCTTGGCCAGGTGCAGGTAGCTCATATCTATAATCCTAGCTACTCAGGAAGCTGAGGTCTGAGGACCATGGTTCAAAGCCAGCCTGGGCAGGAAATGCTGTGAGAACAGGCAGAGAGTTGTATGGGCTGGGTCTATACAGCTCCAGCTCAGACTGGCAGAAGAGGAGAGGCCGTGACAGCCCAGTGCCATCCAGTTCTCCAGTGCAGATTTCACTGAGGTTTTTGTTTGTTTTTTGTCAGTTGTGGGGCTGGGCGCTGTCCCTGAGCCTCTTTGTTCTTAAGGCGAGTGCTCTACCACTTAAGCCATAGCACCACTTAGAGTTTTTGAGTGGTTCATTGGAGATAAGAGTCTCATGGGGATTTTCTGCCTGGGCTGGCTTTGAAACTCGATCCTCAAAACTCAGGCTCTTGAATAGCTAGGATGACAGGTATGAGCCACTAGCACTGGGCTCCACTGAGATTTTTGAATGAGAAAGCAATTAATATAACACTTAAAACCGTGATGCTGGGCTACTGATAGCTTGTCATCCTAGCTACTCAGGAGGCTGAAATTTGAGGCTCAAAGTGCAAAGCCAGCCTGGGCAAGAAAGTACATGAAAAAAAAATTTTTTTTTTCAGTTATCGGCTTGAACTCTGGGCCTGGGCACTGTCCCTCAGCTCTGCAGCTCAAGGCAAGCACTCTGCCACTTGAGCCACAGTGCCACTTCCAGTTTTCCGGTGGCTGATTAAAGATAAGAGTCTTGTGGACTTTCCTTCCAGGGCTGCCTTTGGACCACAATCCTCAGATCTCAGCCTTCTTAGTAGCTAGGATTACAGGCGTGAGCCACTGGCGCCCAGCCCTGCTGAGATACTTATTTCCAATTAGCTACCACAAAGCTGGAAGTGGAGCTAAGGCTCAAGTGGTAAAAGGCTAGCCTTGAGAACC